CTCTCTCTCTCTCTCTCTCTCTCTCTCTCTCTCCTTTCTCACCCTTTTCTCTGTCGTGTAAGAGTAAATGCGCCGTGAGTAAATCCATTATCCGCTCACCGATCATCCTCAGCCGAGAAAACATCGTCGCGCCGTAATAGCTTTACAGACTGTCGGTCGAGTTCCGGACACGAGGACGGGGGGCGGGAGGGGGGAGAGAGACGAGGACGGGATTCTGCGGTCGCACCAAAATACACCGCGCGTGGAGCACGTGTCCGCGATGCTGAAACGCGCGTGGCGATTAGGCACGCGCGCGTACTCTCGGAGTCGGCGAACAGGCTTCGCCGCCGCTCTGATCTTGGCACCCGAGAGGAAACAAGAATGAGTAGAATACCTAAATGTGTGTCACTGAAACTGAAAAACGAAGGGAAATCGTTTCCTACCCGATAACGGTCGAACGATAGGCGGTTGAGGTCTCGCGTGTGACAATGTGGGCGTGGTATCGAAACAATTGATGAATTGTTCGCGTACGGGGAATGAAAAGGTAAAAATATTACTTTGGGGGCGACGAACGAAAGGTCTCTAAGTAATTTCGATCGAAAGTACGTTAGTATAATACGTTTATCGCTACGAGAGCTTCGACATTTCGTATGCGCAGCGTAAACGTCTCACACGCTGTTATTCGTGCGGTTGGAAGCGACGACTGCAACGAGGGAAGCAGCATCCGTCGCCGCGGCAACGCGAATCGGTGATTTTATTCGCGCAGGTGCTGAAGGTGCTATTCTGAAGGAATTTTTATCTACTCCTTCAATGAAGATACGGGACATCGATAGCAACGACACAACGAGAACAACGTCAGCGACGCGCGACGCGAAATTCATATATACACGTAGCACAATGGATATTATCCGGAAATCCGGCATAAGCGGATATGTATCGGAATTGTGGAAATTATAAGAAAGCGTCGCTGACGAGCGCGCGCTTGTCGCATCGCCGTTGTGTCGCGACGCGGATAATGAACGACGCGGGTACCGCCTCTCGAGATACGTACATCGGTACCGCGACGACGCACTTCGCGGTATCCTGACGCGACGACATCGAGGGATGATGCACTTCGCGGTTGTATCCCGCCGGCGGAGATCGACGGACCACGACGACACCACGCACCGCCATCAGCCGCCGAGTTTGCAAGGGTGCGGGACGAGGCGCTGAATCCCTCGGCAGGAAGGACCACCCCCCCCCCCCGGCGGGATACGGGAATCTTCTCGGTGGGCGCGATCACTCCGCGAGTAGCCACAAACCGATCTCCGGAATGCCGCGCGGAGACATTTCCGGAATCCTCATTCTTCGTCGCCGAGAGAGGTGCGCCCCGTTCTATTTATACACTTATAAAAGGCGTCGCGCGAGACGAAAATTCTCTCTCTCTCTCTCTCTCTCTCTCTCTCTTACGTTTACTTTACTTTACCTTTACCTTAACCTAACT